CTCCTAGTAGTAAGAGTTTTGGAGCAGGAGTTGGGAGATTTTCTAGACAGTGGTAAATTTTCACAAACTGCTTGGAATAGACCAGCATCTGCCCAAAGAGCCTGCTAGGATAGATAAACAAAATGTAATTTCTTGCATTTGTGATGTAATTTCTGGAGTTCGTGAAATAATGTTTGGTGATTGCAATATAATTTTTTAAGATCACGTTGTAATTTTTGGTCGTCGAGATGTAATTTTTGGTGTTCGTGATGTAATTTTCGATATTCGTGTTTTTATTTTTAGTGTTCATGGCATAAATTTTGGTGTTCATGGTGTAACTTTTATTGAGTGAGATGTAACTTTTGGTGATTATGATGCAATTTTTGGTGTTCATGATGTAATTTTTGGTGTTCATGACGTAATTTTTGGTGATCATGATGTAATTTTTGGCATTCATGATGTAATTTTTGGTGATCATGATGTAATTTTTGGCATTCATGATGTAATTTTTGGTGATCATGATGTAATTTTTGGCATTCATGATGTAATTTTTGGTGTTCATGATGTAATTTTAGTGAATGAGGTGTAATATTTTGTGAATAAGACGGAAGGTGACACGGAATCTTGATACAAAAAAAAATGCAGGAGGTGAGGGGGGGGGGGATCTTGATTGGAGGAATTTTAGATTGGTGTTAATTTCGTTATTGGTGTTCATGATCCATGGAAATGGACTATGGTCTGTGGTGTGGTAGGAGGATGGGAAACCAGAGGATGCTTTCGTTTCGAGGAGTTAGAGGTGTACTCACCTATTTGAACTCACCTCTTTGTGGTTGCAGGGGTCGAGACATAGCTCCTGGCCCCGCCTCTTCACTGACCACTACTAGGTCCTCTCTCTCCCTGCTCCATGAGCTTTATTATACCTCACCTTAAACCTGTGTATGGTTCCTGCCTCTATTACATCACTTGCCAGACTATTCCACTTCCTGACAACTCTATGACTAAAGAAATACTTCCTAACTTCTCTTTAACTCAGCTGAATCTTCACCTTCCAAATGTGACCCATTGTTTCTGTCCACTTTATCTATTCTTCGCAACATTTAATATATTGTTATGTCTCCCCTAACCCTCCTCTCCTCCAGTGTCGTCAGGCCGATTTCCCTTAACTTTTCTTCGCAGGACATTTTCCATAGCTCTGGAACTAGCCTTGTTGCAAACCTTTACACTTTCTCTAATGTCTTGACGTGATTGACCAGGTGTGGGTTCCAAACGGGAGCTGCATACTCCAGTATGGGCCTGATGTACACGGTGTACAGAGTCTTAGACGATTCCTTACTGAGGTATTGGAAAGCTATTCTCAGGTTTGCCAGGCGCCCATATACTGCAGCTGTTATTTGGTTAATGTGGGCTTCCGGCGACGTGCTCGGTGTTATACTCACCCCCAGATCTTTTTCCTTGAGTGAGGTTTGCAGTCTTTGGCCGCCTAGCCCATACTCTGTCTGCAGTCTTCTTTGCCCTTACCCGATCTTCATGACTTTTCATTTGGCAGGGTTAAATTCTAGGAGCCAGTTGCTGGACCACGCCTCCAGACTGTCCTGGTCTCTTTGTAGACCTGTCTGGTCCGCATCTGATTTAATTCTCCTCATTAACTTCACATCATCTGCAAATAAAGACACTTCTGAGTCTATCCCTTCCGTCATGTCATACACATACACCAAGAATAGCACTGGTCCTAGGACTGACCCCTGTGGGACCCCGCTCGTTACAGGCGTCCACTGTGATACCTCATCGCGTACCATGACTCGCTGTGTGTGTATGTGTGTGTGTGTGTATGTATGTGTATGTGTGTGTGTGTGTGTGTGTGTGTGTGTGTGTGGTGTGTGTGTGTGTGTGTGTGTGTGCGTGCGTGCGTGTGTGTGTACTCACCTAGTTGTACTCACCTAGTTGAGGTTGCGGGGGTCGAGTCCGAGCTCCTGGCCCCGCCTCTTCACTCTTCACTGTGTGTGTGTGTGTGTGTGTGTGTGTGTGTGTGTGTGTGTGTGTGTGTGTGTGTGTGTGTGTGTGTGTGTTGGTAGTGTGTAAGTGTGTGTGTGTTGGTAGTGTGTAGAGAACTGGTTGCAATGGGTTCAACTTATCTTATGTGGGACAGAATGGTAAACCTCTAGATGTTAGGACATTACAACACAAATATTCGATACAAACTGCCGAGGAATCAAATGCTATTTTCAGCTCTCTTAGAGTCTGTAATAACTCGGCAAACTGGTCAGAAGCCAGAGTCATGGTACCTTGTTCTACTTGGCTTAAAAGGAATATTTTAGAATTAGCGATTATAAAACATGATAAACAATTATTATATAATAATAGTGAGGGCTTATTAAAATTAGACTCGTTTATAGTAAAGGCTATTGTGCATACCTTTAAACTGGACTCCTAAACAAACACCATGGAATGTCTTAGTGTTGCAATGCTACACCAAGGAATTAGGGTTTGTTTTACTGCTGGTTTTGATGATTAGACCTGCATCTGCTTCAGAATCTCGTGGGACAGACAAACCATAGCCAAATTGCTTTTGGATAAACTACAAATGTCTCGTCTTTAAATGAGTAACTGTAAGTGAATCGGCTGTGGATCTGTTTTCTAGATGTTTGAAAAAAAATTCCTAACACAATTGCCAGATATATCTATATTTAGAAGGTTAAGTCTTTTACAGCAAATCAAGGTATGACCGAATTTTTAATAATTGTCATGTCACTGATGTTACGTTCAAGAGGTTATTGGTACAGTTTCAATGCTTGTGGGTTGCCTGACTTCTAATGCTTTAATATTCAGTCTTTCTGGCATGGGGCACTAGGCACTGGCGATGGGTATGCCTGGGTCACCTATCACCTCCTGCATCTCTCCACATCGTTTTTTTCTGTAACACTGCAAGTTCCTGATGATGTGTTGATTGCAACACGAAAGGACATCATTCAATTCCCCCTCGTGGTTGTTTGTATTACTGCATGACTAGGCATGAAATGACAAGTCATGCTTGGTGTGATAGTGGCCTTCTCTGTAATTAGTATTTTATATTATGTAAACCACACAATATCCTATAATATGTAAACCCCGCATTGTAATCTTTATAGAGAATAAACTTGATTGATTGATTGATTGACTAATATTTTTTTACCAAACTGCGGCAGGCCAGGATTTGACCCCACGACACATTGTCCCGCCTGAAGAGACAACACAACGTGCGTGTCACCCTATCCACTACACCATCGATCCTACAAACAACATGAGCCTAGCGAACTAGACTTGTTTCATGTACATGTCGCCCTACCATCTGAGCCATCGATGGCTCAGATGGTAAGGTGACATGTACAGTGTTTAGCCTCATGAGGCGGGACACTGTGTCGTGGAGTCGAATCCTGGCATGCTGCAGTTTGATAAATGATTCAGTCCTACTTGCTTCGTGGTTTCATTGCTATATAAACTGATTGTTGAGGCGGGTATTCAGACATGAGGAGGCTTAAATTAATCTTTGAATATCCACTGCCACGAGTGTCCTCGCAACATGAAACAAGTCTAGTTCCCTAGGCTCATGTTGTTTGTAAGATCAGTTGTGTAGTGGATAGGATGACACGTACGTTGTGTTGTCTCTTGAGGCGGGACAATGCGTCGTGGGGTCGAATCCTATCCTGCCACAGTTTAACTGATATATATATATATATATATATATATATATATATATATATATATATATATATATATATATATATATATATATATATATATATATATATATATATATGCAAAACAACCACTCTGAAAGAATAGAGAAATTCCAAGCGCTTTCGTGACTACTCACATTATCAAGGAATTAGGAAAGTAAAGCATCCAAGGAAGGTATATAAGGGGGTCTGGCCAACACCTCACTATCAGATCCCACAACGGTTAAACACCTGACGCGCGCCGGCCCAACTGGACAACCACCAACAAACTATTCTACCCAAGAAAATTTTTAAAATTATTATTTGTCCAGTGTATTACTAAATTCTTCCCAAATTCTATTAATTATAAATGGATCTAATTTATATAAACCAAAGGAAATATTCATATTATTGTCAAAACTGCTTTTTATGAAACAAGATTCAATTATATTCCTGTCGACCATGGACTTGCTTGATACTACTTTCTCAACTTTTTGAAAATCAATTGGATGGTTAAAATCTCTTACATGAATAAATAGAGCATTGGAATCTTGTCCAGTTCTAATGCTATATTTATGTTGTTTTAATCTTAGTTCGAGATTTTTACCAGTTTGACCGTAATAAACTTTATCGCAAATTTTACAAGGATTCTTATAGACACATCCATCAGCATTTTGGGGGGAATTCTTTATCAAAAGTTTTTTTACTGTATCAAGATTTTTGAATACAACTTTGATATTAAAAGTCTTAAGAAGAGAAGGCATATCAACCAAGTTTTCATGATAAGGGAGAACCAACATATTTTTAGTTGAATAAGGCTGGTTGTCCCTTTTTGGATTGTAAAAAGTATTTCTAGCAACTTTAAAAGATTTATCAATTACATTTCTTGGGTATTTTAAATCTATTCTTTCAGAGTGGTTGTTTTGCATATTCTGAAATCACCTGTTTACTGTGATCTTATTGCATAAATATATATATATATATATATATATATATATATATATATATATAATATATATATATATATATATATATATATATATATATATACATTATATATATATATATATATATATATATATATATATATATATATATATATATATATATATATATATATATATATATATATATATATATATATATATTAGAAATTCCTAATAAATAAACAATTATTTACTAAAGAAAATAAAGAATCAGTAAAAATATTTCTTTCAGCCTTCACAAAATGCTTGAGAAAATTTAAATATTTTATATAACTATTTCTTTTTTATGTTAGCTTACTGTATTAAAATAAAGAAAATAGAAACAGAATCAAATCAGTCTTACTCAAAACCAACGATGATTCCCCAACCCTCGAAGGCGACGCCAAATCCGGATGGTACTGCTACGAAGTCGAGCTTGGGCAGTGAGTAGGGCACGCTCAAGTAATCCTCAAAGAAAGAGAGTAGCTTTGGTACCACCTGCTGTATCATGGACGTCTTTTCAAGAACGTCTGGCCGCGCCCATACTGCTCGGGTTTAGTATCCATTAGACTTGCACATTAGAGCAGATATTTGTTGGTACGGATATACTGATGAAGTTTTATGCCTAATGAATAAGAATATAGATATAAACCATTTCTTTGTTGGCTTAAATATTCTAGCTCTAAGTACAGGGTCTCCATAAAACACTCCCTGATTTCAAACAGGTATAACATGTAACTTTATTGTAATAATCTTTCACAGTTAGTAGCTTTAGATACAGGATTTCATTCAGTTTCATGTGGTGTAAGGTAGCATTAAAGGCACTCAGTGTGCGCCCCTTTGGCTGCTCGGCAAACGTTGATGGGATAGTCCTGCGAGGTCACCAGACCTGTTTGTGACTTTTTTCTTTCTTGGAGGGTGCGTGAAGAGCACAGTTTACGTACCAACACTACCCGCAACCCTGGAGGAGCAAAAAATTTCGGCCACAGAAGCAGTTCGCTGGATAACACCAGATATGCTGCAGAGCGTCTGGACCGAACTGGAGTATCACATCGATCTTTGCCGAGCAGCCAGAGGGGCGCACATTGAGTGCCTTTAATGCTACTCTATGCGCACATTGAGTGCCTTTAATGCTACTCTATGCGCACATTGAGTGCCTTTAATGCTACTCTATGCGCACATTGAGTGCCTTTAATGCTACTCTATACCACATGAAACTGAATGAATCCTGTATCTGAAGCTACTAACAATAAAGTTACATATTATACGTGTTTGATATCATGGAGTGTTTTTGGGACCACCATGTATAAACAAAATAATTAACTGCATTTTTTAGTTGTCTTAATTCTTAAGGTGAACAATGATTTTACGTGCAAAATATGTGCACTATCGTATTTGCAGCCCAGAGTTCATTGATGAAGAAATTTTGATGATTTGTGAAATAACTAATGATTTAAAATAGTCAAAATACATAATTGATAAATACTTAAAAATGCTAGAAATACATTTAAAAAATAAAATAGGACTATGAGTGAAAAGTTAATTAGATAAGAATGAAAATCTGAATGAGTGGTGGTAGTAATCTGATTGGCAGAATGCTTGTTCAGAAACGTGTGTACATTGTTACCGCTTCCTCCCCTTCCTCCTTTCTCCATCCTGTGGGAGTTGGCGAGGGACCCTCCCACGGGATTACAGTAACTTGATTTTCGGTTCCCATCAAGTCTGTAAGTATCCAATTCACTCTTGTTTAGTAATTTATTTTGTTGAGATGTGGTTAAATTAGATCAAACAAGAGCTTCACTCTTGTTTCTGGTATCATCTGTTATCTGATTCAGCCAGACCTGATTTGACTTACGTATTTTAACGTAAACGTCTTTGTCCTCTCCATTTCTTTCAAAGACCTGATACCTATCATGAGAGGGGACTGCTTGTCCAGATTGCAATTTTGTTTTTTGTTGCAGCCTTGATTGCCAGCTCGGGTCATCCGACACAGGCGAGACAAGGCGGGCAGCAAGATTTATGTTTAGATCTGAGACATTAACATCAAAACTTTAATAAACTTTGTCATCTTTGGAAAGTAATTCTGCATTAACAGTTCTGCACCTTGAGGGGATCTCTGCAATTTCTCTTCCCACTGTGGCTGATACTGACATCATGAGACCGTCCTACAGCGGTTCTCCAGTGGTTCTCCACCAGCATTTCAGAGGTGAATACTGTGAATACTGGCCGCTCTACCGCTTAAGGCAATTCTTTCGAATAATGAAGTGTGTATGCCACCGTTCTACCTAATTTCTATACAATTTGGGGTCACCTTCTGTTTTCTAAGTCTGCATATTAATAAAATTGCTTATCTTATGTTGTCATTAATTTTGTTTATTCCCACGAGAAGGAATCGGTTCTATCAACGACTGTTCGAGGGTCTGATAGGTCAGTTGCACCTTCACAAGAACTAACAATCATATTCAACCAAGAATTTATTGGTTCTCCAGTACCATGAAAACTTTCTTGATATGTTTTTTCTACTTAAAGGATTTAAAATCAACATTGTATTTATAAATCTTGCTACTGTATTAAAACATCTGATTAAAAAAATTCCTCCCCAAAATGATGATGGCAATTTTGTAACTGTAGTGTGAGCTCGCCTCTGGCAAGACAGTGATGGAGTGAATGATGATGAAATTTTTTCTTTTTATCTATTCGGCACTACACGCACACATACATACACACACACACACACACACACACACACACACACACACACACACACACACACACACACACACACACACACGCACACATACACACACACACAGACGCACACATACACACACACACAGACACACACACACACACACACACACACACACACACACACACACACACACACACACACACACACACACACACACGCACACACACATGCACACACACACACACATGCACACACACACACACATGCACACACACACACATATCCTGACTCACATATACACTCCCCCCTCCCCACCGACATCTCACTCCTTCCCCTGATCCCTCCCCTCCCTCTTTCACCCTCCCCCTCCCCACCTCCCCTACTTCCCCCCTCTCCCTCTCCCACTCACCCACTTGCTTCTCTCTCCTTCCCACTCCCCATATTCCCCCCTAAATCCCCCCCCCCACTCCTCTCCCACATAGCCACAGTTCCTCCTCTACCCCCCCCCCACACTCTGACATACACATTATTAACCTAACATACAGAATTACATAGGTTTCCCATTCTGAGACAATCAGGATAAAACAAAAATGGGTTGCCAGAGAGCAGGAAGAAAAACCAAGGGACAGGAGGAGGAAGCTGCAAAGGAAGATTGGGCAGCAGAGCTCATAAAAAGGGAACATGAATGGGAAAAGAAACTAGAAGAACTTAGCATGAGAATGGAAGAGAGGAAAGATATGGAAAGCAGGAAGTGGGAGGTGCAAGTCAAAGCAGCAGAGGCTAGGATACAGAGTTTAGAAGAGGAACTGAAAAATCTGAAACAGCCTAAAGAACTAAAGAACATTTTGGGATTGCCATCAGAGACTGCTACCTCAGTCACAAATAAGGGGACTGTATGGAAAGGAGCAAAACTGCATGTAGAAGCTCTATCAGAGGAGACTGTAGTAAATGAAAGAGCTAAGTTATATGTAGAGGTCCTAACAGACCACAGCAGAGCCCATGGAAAGCCGAGAAAGGAAAATGACAGGCCACTGAGCCCAAGTACATTAGCTAGTGAAACTGAAGAAATGAAAGCTGCAATGGAGGAAATCAAATTGAATGAGGGGATACACAGGGATATGCAGTGGGAGAATGAAAGGATGAGGTCAGTCTTTGTGTATGGGCCCCAGGAAGTTGAAGGGGAAACATATGAAGCAAGAAAACAAGGGGAAAAAAAGCAATTGAAAGCATCATGAAAGCAATAGGAGAAGACGACATGACCTAGCTGGAAAATTTTCGGAGAATAGGGGGGGTTTGTAAAAAAAAGAACCCGGCCAGTGAAAGTGACCTTCAAGGCAGAATCGACTCGGAACAGGATCCTGCAGGAGAAAGCATGATTAATGGACATGCCGGCATACAGGAAGGTGTATCTCGACCGCGACAGAACACAAGAAGAAAGGCAGAAACTGAGAGAGATGATACAAAGGCGAAAGGAGGAAAGAGAGGGGATGGAGAAGACAGACAGGAGATCCCAGACCCAGGAAGAAGATCAAATACAGCCTCCTTCACAACTTCCTATAGAAGCCTCCCAACCAGGTCAACCCCAGTGCAACAAAACACTCTAAACCAAAACACCCATGCCACATCCAATGCCCCCACCCACTGCATTACAAACTCCACCCCAACAGCAACCACCCATAGTTCCTTATCAGGTCTCCCACTTCCCCAACCCCAATATACCTCCCAGACCACAGTCTTAGAAAAGAAGTTGAAGGTGTGGTATAACATGCAGATGGAATAACAAATAAGTATGAGGAATGGCACGAAAGAATCAAGGAGACATCCCTAGACATAATAGCATTCACAGAAACAAAGCTCACCAGAATAATAACAGAATCAATCTTTCCATCCGGATATCAAATCCTCAGTTAAGACAGAGGGAGGAGAGGGGGAGGAGGAGTTACACTGCTCATTAAAAACCAGTGGGGGTTTGAGAAAATGGAAGGAATGGATGGCACGGGCGAATGGGACTACTTAGTAGGAACAATCCAGTCTGAGGGACATAAGGTGATAATTACAGTAATGTACAACCCACCACAGAACTGCAGGAGGCCAAGAGAAGAATACGATGAGAGCAACAGAGCAATGATCGACACACTAGCCGAGGTGGCCAGTAGAGCACACGTGGGGGGAGCAAAGTTACTAGTTATGGGTGATTTCAATCACAAGGAGATTGACTGGGAAAACCTGGAGAACCATGGGGGTCCCGAAACATGGAGAACGAAGATGATGGATGTGGTACTGGAAAACCTCATGCATCAACATGTTAGAGACACTACCAGAGAGAGAGGAGAGGATGAACCAGCAAGAATGGACCTTGTATTCACCTTGAGTAGTTCGGACATCGAGGATATCATGTATGAAAGGTCCCTGGGAGCTAGTGATCATGTGGTTCTGTGCTTCGACTACATAACTGAGCTCCAAGTGGAGAGAGTAGCAGGAATAGGTTGGGAAAAACCAAACTACAAAAGGGGGAACAACTCAGGCATGAGGAACTTCCTTCAAGACATTCAGTGGGAGAGGGAACTGACAGGAAAACCAGTACAAAAAATGATGGACTATGTGGCAACAAAATGCAGGAGGCAGAGGAGAGGTTTGTTCCCAAGGGAAACAGAAATAATGGGAAGAATAGAACGAATCCTTGGTTCATCAAAAGGTGTAGGGAGGCAAAAACTAGGTGTACTAGAGAATGGAAAAGGTACAGAAGACAGAGAACTCAGGAAAATAAAGAGATTAGCCGAAGAGCCAGAAACGAATATGCACAGATAAGAAGGAAGGCTCAGCGACAATATGAAAATGACATAGCATCAAAAG